ATTGGTAAACATGGGCTGGCTACAACGGTGACAGTGTCCCAGAGGGCAGTGCAGTAATTCCAAGAGACTTTTGGGCAATGAGATTGGAGTCAGGAAGCTGAAATCTAAGGGAATAAAAGAAACATAAGTTAGGAAACAGGATTGTAACAAAACAAATTCATGATTAAGATTCAACATAGTAAACATGTTCCATGACCCTGAGTCTACTAAATATCTCACTAATCCTCACAGTGACATCTGGCCATGTCAAAGTAGTAAACTAAAGCTAATTATTTGCACATAAGATGAAGTCCATAATAATACTTCCAATATAAATAAGCAAGGAAGTTGAAAAATTGCATGCATAGGATTAATCAGACCCAAGCAGCCAGATGAAGGTGCTGTTGCTTAAGCAAATACAAAATACGACACAAAACAAAACCAGCAAATGTGTCAAGCAGTAAACCATTTCTAAACAAAGGCATTGGTTGACTCAAGCAAAACTCAGAATTGAATGTGGACGTTTTAGTTAAGTATGTGTCATTAAATTAGATCTGTTAACCTAAGTGAGGTTCTCTGGTGTAATCAGTGACTATTCACTAGTCAACAATACAAGATTCTAGGCAGGAAGAAGGTATAATTTTATTTATATTACTCAATAAATATAAACATCCCACATACAAACACCAAACAATTCATCACCCAGTAATTCAAAATTGCAAACTATAACCTAGTCTGCCCAAATCCAAAACCTACAGCTGTCTCCAAAAGGCCCAGAATATGCACGGCCTTCTTAGTATGCCCAACAAGTCAATGTCACTCACTCTTCTATATCCAAGAGGCTCCAGTCCCCCCACCCCGCCTGCCTGCTCACTTTCCACAGCTGTGGGAAGTGAGATTTCTCAGTTGGGCAAGCCCCTGACCACATACAACTCTCACAGGTCAAAGCCAACAATCTGACACTCCACCAGAAAACAAAGAGGCAGCCAGTGCTGAATTTTAGGATAGGTGCTAACTGAGCAAGATGAGGTCCAGCATTTCATAAACAGGCTTCTGGAATTTGCACTGGGCTCAGTATCCAAATAAATTTGAAGTGTTGCCCTATCTCCAGTGGTGTAAGTGTGAGATAAAGGCATGGATAATAGGACTAGGGATGTGAATGACGAGTCGACTATCCGATAAGCAAATGCTTATCGGATAAACAAAATACTAGTTCAGTATTTCTCAACCAGTGGTACAAGTACCCTTAAGGGTACTTGAGAAGTCTGGGAGGTACATCAACTGAAATTTGGAGAAAACTGAATTTTTGTTTTAAGTTTTACAGCACTTTATTATTTTTGTACTTTTTAAACCCAAAAACTTCATCACCCACCCGGCTACGATGAAGTTGCAACGGTAGAAAAAAAAATGTGTGTGTCTGAAAACTGGGTATTTGGGATACTTAAAAAAATTATTTTCAAGGGATACTTTATAAAAAAAACGGTTGAGAAACACTGCACTAGTTGACTAGTAGCTTCCCCCACCCCTTGCAGCCTCTATTGGAAAGAGTCAGCAAAGCAAGGGGCAGCACCATATGGACCCTGGAGCTGTACGCGGCATTCAAAGCAGCAGTGCTGCATGGAGCCCGGGGTCTGCCGCTTTGAAATGCAGCTGGCCCCAGGTTGCACTCAGCATTTCTAAGTGGCAGCACCGCGTGGAGCTGCTCCATGTGGCACTACCGCTTTGAAGTGCCATGGGGAGCATGGGGCCAGCAGAGGACTGCTCGAATCCCCCACTGGCCCCATGGTCCCCAGTGTTTTTGCCTTTGAAATATAGCAACAGACCTGGGGCTGTTGCTACATTTCAAAGATGGAGGCTCCCTTATCAACTAATTGAATAGTTGATGCAAATTAATCTAAATTTAACACCCCTAAATAGGACCGTGGTCTGTATCTAAACAGAAGAATTACAATATGCTGACCTGGTAAAGATCTAGGAAAGCTAGTCTGCTCATTGCTATAATACAATTTTCTAAAAGTAGCTGAGGATCTAATACTACCCTTGAAATTATAAACACAAGCAATTTAATGGTGAACTAAAGAGGGTAATATTGCCTCTCCCTTATCCTCCATTTCCTTCCTGTCTGGATTAGGGACGTGAAGGACTAGTCGACTACCTGATAAGCAAATGCTCATTGGACAGTCAACAAGCTTGTCAACTAGTCACTCTCCTCCCTTCCTTTGCTGCCTCTATCAAAAAGAGGCAGCAAGGGGAGGGGAAAAAGGGGGAGTACTTCAAAGCAGCAATGCCTCGTGGAGCCAAGGGTCAGCTGGGGATTCCCCGCGGTGCTGCCACTTTGAAATGCCGCGAGGAGTCTGACTCCGAGCTCCAGCGGTGGCATTTCAAAGCAGCAGGGCCGCACAGAGCCTGGGAACAGCTGGGGACTCCCCACTGACCCCGGGCTCCATGCAGCGCTGCCACTTTGAAATGCAGCAGGAGCCTAGAGTCAGACTCCCTGTGATGTTTCAAAGCAGCTGTGCCGTGGAGCCCAAGATCAGCTGGGGAGTCTTCAGCTGATCCTGGGCTCTGTGCAGCGCTGCTGCTTTGTAACGCCGCCATGAGAGCCCAGAGTCAGTGCTATGCTAGTGTGTGTGTGTGTGTGTGAGTGTGTGTGTGCGCGCACACATCTATATATAGCAGGACAGGGGCAAGTCAGAGAGATACAGGAGAGTAGTAGAAGGGAACTACATTAGCTCTAGAATGAGTAAGTCTTCATTCCCAGGGCAAACTAACAAGGGCTAGTCCAGAACCAGCAGGAACTTGCCAGAATCAATCAGGGCAATTAAGCACCTGGAGCCAATTAGAAGGTTTCCAGAGGCAAGTGAGTCAGAATGTTCAGAACACCTGGGGCCAATTAAGAACCAGTTGAGACTGGTTAAAAAGAGCTCCTCTTCAGTTAGTTCACAGTGTGAGGAAAGAGCTGATGAGAGAAAGTGTGGTGGAGAGTCCAGGATTGAAAAGTGCAAACAGATACCAGAAGGAAGAACCTCTGTTAAGGAAGGAACTGGGGAAGTGGCCCAGGGATTTATAACTGTCACACAGCTGTTACCAGAAACATTATAGACAGCTGTTGTTACAGAGTACCTGGGCTGGAACCAGGCATAGAGAGTAGGCCCAGGTTTCCCCCACACATGCAAGTAACCAACTCAATATTGGGAAGAGACTGGTTTTGGTAAAAGGCAGTGGTCCCCAACCTTTTGGGGCTGCCAGGCGCCCAGGGGTGGGGCCTTTCACACACCAGGCACCCGGGGCCGGCGCTGCCACTGCGCCGCGTGCCCAGGAGCCAGCAGTGCCCATGTGCCGCGTGGCCAGGGGCGGGGAAGCCCATAGGCTGCACTCCCGGGGCTGGCACAGCCCTTATACAGCTCACCTGGGGGCGGGGCTGCCCATATGGTACACACCCAGGGCTGGCGCTGCCACTGTGCCACGCACCTGGGGGCGGGGCCGGCCCCTATCAGTCAGAAGGCGCACAGAAATGGCCCGGCAGGTGCCATGGCGCCCGCGGGCACTGTGTTGGGGACCACTGGTACAAGGGTTTTTCCTACCCTGTACCACTTGGAGGGGCCGCATAGAGACTATGTTTGGTTTCCCCATTTTTTCCCCTATGCTGGCCACTGATGAGAGTAGTTCAACAAACAACAAGCTGGTGTCTAAACTGAGGGCTACTGTGAGCCTCGGAGACAAGTAATCGACCCGAAAGTGCAGAACCCACCAAGGTTTAGGGAGGATCTTTATCACAATATACAAACCACTGTGTTAGACGCATGGAGTGGGAAATATATACAAACTATATATTCCTGTATCATTAGTCTCCAACCTTTTTAAGCAAGAGCTCACTTTTTGAATTGAAGGATTTACCTCCAATCGAAACACCCTTGCTCCACCTCTTCCTGCCCCTTCTCCAAGGCCTCACTCTCCCTCCCTTCCCCATCCTCACTCACATTTATCAGGCTGGGAGCAGAGGGCTGGGTGTGGGGGAGGGAAATGCAGACTCAGCTCTTAGGCTAAACAACATGGAGTTTGGGAGGGGTTCTGAGCTGAGCCTGGGGCAGCGAGTTAAGGTGCAGGAGGGGGTTCAGTGTGCAGGCTCTGGGAGGGTGTTTGGGTGCAGAGGGACTCAGGGCTAGGACAGGGGTTTGGGGGGTAAAAGGGGTTCAGGACTGGGACTGGATTTTGGAACGTGGGCTTGAGCTGGGCACCACTAAACCACAGGTGGTTTCTGGGTGGTGGTGCAGGGGACTAAAGCAGGTTTACCTCTGCTCTGGTCCTGCAACACTCCCAAAAGCAGCCAGCAAACTCTCTTCATCCCTGCTCCCCACCTGCTCTGTGGAGATGGGGTACAGGGTGGGGGGAGGGGCAGCCTGACATCAGCACTCTGCTCCCCTTCTTCTTGTGCCCTGCCCAGCAAGCAAGAGGCTCTCAGGGTGGGAAGCAGCTCCAAGGCAGGGGGGCAGATGAAGTGCTGGCACTTGATAGCCTCCCAGCCAAACCTGTCAAGATCACCTGTCAAAGGCTCCAAGCTCTACTAGTATATCCTGACCTACTGGTTGGTGACCACTGCCCTGTATCTATAGATTTCTCTCAATTTTCCACTCAATGCATCCAACACAGTGGTTTTTACCCATGAAAGATTATGCCCAAATAAATGCATTAGTCTTTAAGGTGCCATAGGACTTCTTGGTGTCTTTACTTCATATTGATTGTGCAACACTAGCTTGTTATCCCATACTTAAACCTTGCTTGTGAGACACTCTTGTCACACTGTGTGACAGCTGTGACACGGATAAATCAGTGAGAAGTAAAATAAAATTACCATCATCTGTGATTTAAAGATATGAATTTTGCTTTCCAGAGGGGAGATATTGTTAATCCCTTTTGCCAAAAATCTCACATCTCTCTTCAAAAAGGAATTAGTATTTTACACACACACACACACACACACACACACACACACACACACACACACACAATTGCATTGTGCTGTTATAATTGTGATACTTGAACTATTTTTTTTTTTTTGCCTAAGTAAAAAATCAGAAACATACAACCTCTAACAGATCATGAATTCATTCCCCCAGCAGTTAGAATTGTTTTCTCTAATATAGTCTCATGTGTTTGGCTCACTCTTAACATGTGGCTTCTATCACTGACCTACATAAAAAAATGTCTGAGGCAGACAGAAGTCCAAGCAGCAGAATGTCAGCTCTTCACTGCACACTTTTTTCTTGGCAAAAGGAAGCACTTCAGTGGTTATGATTCGTGACAATAATTCCAGTCCAAGCTTTCCCCCCAACTAGATTTTTTACATACAACCCTTCCATGTTTCACAAGTTCCCAAAGCACTTAATATAACAAAGCCACAACATCCCCAAATCTAACAAAGCTTTAACTCCTCACATTACTCTCAAACACTGGTATCTTATGTGGTAGTAGGATGCACAACCAGAGGAGCCACGGGCCAGTTTTCAACAAAAAGTCTGAACTGGAGCATAACTAAAGCAGCTCAGCTGTCATGCTGCACTGATATGGCCAACGGCTGCTAACATTTCTTCTGCCTTATGTATAACAAGTCTGCCAGTTTAGGAGCGTGCTACTTGGCAAGGAGTTGCTTTGTTGGACAATGCATCTAATCTTGCCCGAGGAACAATAATTTCTCATTTTCCTCTCCCATTAAAGTCAGTTTCTTCTCCACCACAGACTGTGAAAAGCCTGCATCATTTTACATTGTGCCAAACACAAACAATCAAAAACTTTTCTAAAGACCACTTTACCTCTGGAACTCAACATTTAGTGGTGTCTTTTAGGTCACAACATTTTTGTTGATCACTTTTAAATGTAATTTGTTGGAATACACATTTTAAAACATTGATGTTTGCAAAGCTCTCTGAGGAGCTCTATAAATGCTGCTGTCACCTCTGAGAAGCATTCTTGTCTTTGTCAAATTCTAAAGGATGTGAATAGACAGTTAAAGTACCTTTTAAAAACCTGTAGTAGGTGTTATAGAGTGTCCTCATGGCTAGCTCTTGCAAAGGCAGCACATGATCTGTCTCTGTCCCTATAGACTTCACCTCTGCTGGGAGGAACACACTTAATTGTCCTGATGAAAAGGAGAGCAGCTTCAGCTCTGAAACGTGAATAGGGGAGCCACAGCTGTAAGAATACAAACCATTTAAATTGCAGTTAGCCAGACTAAAAGTAACTAAAGGGGAAACAACATGCAATCCGCTTAAAGTGCACTTTATACTGTTCTACAGAACAGTGTTTGTCAACCAGTGGTATGAGTATGGGTACTCCAGAGAAGTCTGGGGGGTACGTCAACACAACTCAAATTTGGAGAAAACTGAATTTTTGTTTTAAGTTTTACAGTGTTTTATTATTTTTGAATTTTTTACACCCAAAAATTTAATTGTCCACCCTGCTACAATTAAGTTGTTTAAACAAATGTGTTGCAATGGTAGAAAAAAATGGTGTGTCTGAAAACTGGAGGTACTTACAATTTTTTTAAAGGGGTACTTTATAAAAAAAGGTTGAGAAACACTGCTACTGAAACACAGTCTCTCTACAATAAGAGCTTGCTCTTAGATCTTATAGTGTGTGTTTCAGACTGAAATTAATTTAGTACACATTCTGACTATCTGTAACAACAGGTTAGATGTAGCTCATTTGGAGTTCTTTACTGATCAAGCAAGCAGTACCCAAGGGTGTGTCTAGACTATAGGGTTTTTCAAAAAAAATCCCCCTGCGTCTAGACTGCTGCCATGTTCTTTCGAAAGTAAATCAAAATAACGCGGCTGTTTTTTCGACCATGGAAAACCTCATTTTACGAGGAATAACGCCTTTTTTCGGAAGTGCTCTTTCGAAAAAAAGGCGCTATGTAATGCAAACTGTGCTTTTTCAAAAGAGAGCATCCAGACTGCCTGGGTGCTCTCTTTTGAAAAAGCAGCTTGCTTTTTCGAAAGTACTGGTTGTAGTCCAGACACTCTTTTTCGAAAGAGGATTTTTCTAAAGTATCTTTTGAAAAAGCCTCTTTCGAAAGAGGCTTGCAGTCTAGACGTAGCCCAATACATAGAAAAAATGAGAGCACAGCCCCAAAGTAAACTAAGGACACTAACAAAAGCCTGGCATCCCTAGCTTTGCTGCAAAGTCCTTATCATTTAGCCAGACACTAACTGAACAGCAGAAACTGCTTGTCACTATTACAAAATATTTTACTGATGGGTCTTACACGACAATTGGGTTTTTGTGACTTGAACCAACCAGCTCAGAATGATCATAAATTTCCCACCAGCAACCTGCAAGTTAGTTGTTTTAAGTGCCACTGGATGCTTCTGTACTTTACTTTCTCTTTCCCAGAGTTCCCATGAAAAAAGACTTCCCTGCTGAAAACAAGACAATAACCCAGCAAAATAATCAAACTCCGCTCTCTCTAATCCAGGTTCCAAAGAAGGGGAATTTTCCCGATAGGTGGATCCAAACAGAGCAAATAAATTTGTTGGTAAAAAAAAAAATCTCTATTTAGAAGCCAGGAATAATATGAAGGAATTGGTATTGTTTATAACAAACTCAGGAATTGGAAGCAAAAGAGCAACCTTTGTTGAGATCAGATCTAACACATGAAATAAGAAAAGTGAGGAACTGTCAACCTTTCCAGTTATTGGGCCCAGAACCCAGGTGAAGAAACCAGATCCTATTTGACCTGAACAAAGGAAAAAAACCTCTATGTCCCAGAAAACAAGGAACTTTTAACTCCACAGGACAGTGGAAGAAAACCTGATAGATCTGACAAACCTTTTTACAAACTTCAATCAATATTTAACCTTCCTTACAAAACTGAGGGAGCAGAGGGAAGTCAGGGAACTAGGACATAAAATATAACATGTCAGGCCCCAACCACCTCTGCCTACAGGATGGCACTGTTTATATTTGCTGAAAGAAGGGAACATTTCTGATGTGAGGAATTGAATTTAGCTGAATAACTCCCTGTTATCCTCAAGAAAAAACACAGGTAAAATGTAATGAATACTTATTTCAATACCAACTATGCCTCAAATCTATCTTAAGGTCTTGGATATTAATATCCCCAAAAGTTGGACAATATGATGGTAGCATCTCTAAGCAGATAACTGTGTAAAATTCTGCCAGAACATGTCAGGAGAAAGATTAATAATTAGTTATTAATAGGCATAAAGGAGGGACAAGAAAGAATACCATGACGTAAGAAAGAGAAACAATACCATCCCCTTTCTCGCTTATAGTGATCCTGTGCAAGGCTAGGAAAAACTAAATCTCCATGTTAAAAGTAGAGTCACAGAACAGTTTTAGTAAATAAATCACAGGAGTAAAACTATGATCATTAAGAAAGAATGAAAGGCTCAAAACAGTAAATTGACCAGCCCAGCGAAAGACCAATAAATCCCATCCCCAGAAAGTGAAAACAAAAAAAAAATCTAAGTGCTGAGATCATCACAAGCTGATATTTCAGGCAGCCTGACACTAGGATTAATTACTTAAGCAATGCAATTTATATTTGATTTTCAGATCCTTAGCTTTAAATTAGCAAGAACTAGTCAGTTTTCATTGTCCAGACAGGGACCAGATAAAGCATTAAACAACCACAATTTCATTCCAGGCCTGTAATGAGTTTACTTGACCAGTAAAGACCTTTTAAGAGCCACTAATGCTTACGAATGCAAAGGACACAGAAATGCTTTAGAAGAAATTAGTATACCATTTCAGCATCCATTCAGTAAATATCAACTCTATTTGAGCAAGATCTTCCTAATACTAAGTTACCCTATACTATAGGAAAGGAAAGGAGAGTACTACCAGCAAATGGATCTAAATAAGTGTATTTTTAAGTTATATCAAGGATTTCTAGAGAGCATGGAGAGATGTCTATTAGCACATACAAATCTAAACTGAGATCCTGTTTTGCTTACTAAAAAGGAGTAGATTCATAAACCATTACCTTACACATACAGGATTGAAAAAAAAAAAAAAAGTACAGCTCGTGTTCATTTAGCCTCTTTTTAGAAAAACCCTGATAATTCAGCAACTTAATTTGCAAATATAAATGCTGCCTTTGTTTTGAGGGTAGGAGAGAGACATTTATTCACAAAGATGAAATCTGGCCAAAGGGCAGAGGAAAGCATTTTACCAAGTCAAATTGCTTGGACAGACTACTTTTGTTATGACTGTTATTGTGGAGTCCAGAATATCACATGTACCCAAATGCAGCCCATATAATGCTAAAATGTGGTCTGTGGCTGCCTTCTTTCTGTCATGGTGAGGACAAAGCAGATCAGCTGGATGGGAGTTTTATTGCTAGTAATAATTTAAAAACAGTTATTACATTTTTATTCATATTAAACAAACAAGTATCACCACACAGCAGAGAGAGAGAGAGAGAGAGAGTGTGTATGTAGGTGTGTGTGTATATATATATATATATATATAATCTCACATGAGCTTTCATGGGCAAACCCCACTTCTTCAAATATTGGTTTTGCTCACAACAGCTCATGATACTATATATATTTTTGTTAGTCACTAAGGTGCTACAAGACTACTCGGTTTTTGTAAAGTTACAGACTAACACGGCTTCCCCTCTGAGATGGAGTGCTATGAGAATTAGTTAATGTTGATGCAGTGCTTTGAGAACATGTACAATCTTGTGTATGTGAGACTTATAAAATTTCCCATTGCATCAACACCAGCAGCACTAAAAGTGGAAGTGTAGTCAAGGAACTATTTGATGCTGCCACTTTAATCTCCATCTGATCTAGACCTGCTGTGTTCAATTGTGGTTAAAAGGATAAAGGCTAATAATCTGATGATATGAAAATGAAAATATAGCAAATAAGGAGGAAAACTAGAAGACATGTTTTAAAAGGGACTAAACCAAATGAAAATCTGGTTTATGCAGAGAAGTTCTAAAAAAAAAAAGATGACAAGTGATTCCACTGGAGAAATTAGTATGAGGTTAGTTTTAGATGCAAACATTTTAATAGATTAAAATGGGAGAATTAAAGATACAGTGAAAAGGCAAAGATGGGGTTCAAAATAACTGAAAATAAACTAACCTGTTGAATCAAACCTTTTGGTGCACTTACAGGTTCTATCATTAATGTTTTCTCAAAAAACGAACAAACAAAAAAATAAAACAAAAAGCCATCTAAAAAACACCACCCTAACTTTTAATTCACTCTAACATCTTGTTTACAATTTATTCCGGTTTCTGACAAAGAAAAAAAAAACCAAACAAACCCCACAATGTGAATATCCTTCAATAAATGAAGTACAGGCAGTCCCCGGGTTACGTACACGATAGGGACTGTAGGTTTGTTCTTAAGTTGAATCTGTATGTAAATCGGAACTGGCGTCCAGATTCAGACACTGCTGAAACTGACCGCCAGTTCTGACTTACATACAGAATCAACTTAAGAAACCCAGGCGTCCCCAAGTCAGCTGCTGCTAAAACTGATCAGCGGCTGATTCCAGGAAGTCCGGGGCAGAGCAACTCTGCCTGGGGCTTCCTGTAGTCAGCGCTGGTCAGTTTCAGCAGAAGCTGAC